TCTGATAGTTTCTCTCTACTGCGCAGGCAATTTCTACTTACTGTCATCTACGCATTTCAGCGTCGATTCTTTCCACAAGTCACTATATTTTTCAAAATATCACTACCGTTCTACCCACTTCCATGCATGCTTCTAAGAACAACTTTGAGGAAATGTCGAGAGGTTTAAACATTTTCTGGACATTGATATAAAGTTTGGGAATCAAACCTTCATACTTACAGACACAGTGTACTTCTTCGTTTCTAGATCTTGTTTAACAGTGTATTCCATTTTGGTGGTAAACATTCCCTTTTCATCATTAACAGTGATAAAATATCGCAGATCATCACCACCCTTGGTCAATGGCTCGTTCCAGAAAATTGTCACTGATGCATCAGAGTTTGTCCTTTTGGCAAGATTCTGAACCTCCGAAGGCACTAAAAATGAGATGTGCTACATAAACAACAAGAAATCTATTAGGATATTTACCCAAAGTAAACGAATGTAAAATCAACTCAAAAAAAGATTTGCTAAAAAGCTCAACTTTCTCATTCAGGCTTCTGATCTCAATCCACGAACATTACTATCATTAAACAATTTGTTTAAGTTTTCGTATCATAAAATGAAATTTGCAGGACACATGACCAAACTCAATCCTACAAATTCGTTGCATACTTCAAAAGGAACCCCCGATAATGTTTTTCTTTGCAGATAATTTCGAATAGCTTGCCAGAGGTACATATTTCAAATTTGTCACCGTTAAAGACAATTTCACAACCGGCATGCATAGCAACAATCTTCAGACATTGACTGTGTTTTGTATTTTCATGCAATACGATATTAGACTGGTTTTGAAAATAAAGTCGCAAAGAATGCAAGTTGCACAAGATCCTTTAAATGCTCACTGTTATAAGAAAAATAAGGATACTTTGTCTATTAAAGTGTCCCTTTGAAAAAGAAAGCCCAAAAAACAAGTTTATTCAAAAAAGGAACCTAAATTGAATATCCACTGACAATAACTTCTTAAGCAATGATCAAGTGGTCCCCTTGGCTGCAAAGTTGGAGTTAATAATACTTCCTATAACTAAAGTAAAAAATGTGTATGCGATATGTGGGGACAGAGTCTTGCAAACAGGAAAAACAGAATGTTTTCAATCACATGCTGTCCCTTAAATTATCATTGAGCAAACAGTGTAACTCGAGACAAACGTTCACTCACATCCAAATCCAGTCAAAACTGAAGTGCTGTTGTACATAGCCTTGTCGAAGCCGATGGCAGCAGTGACATTGTTGATGGAAAAGACTCTGACGTCATATCGTGTGTAGGCGCTCAGCCCAGTGACATTGAAGAAACGGTTAGATGTTGTAAAGTCAGGTGGTATTTTACATCTAGCACAGCTTGCTTTTATCGTGTAACTCGGTTTGCCTCCAGTCCCTTGGTCCATGGGGACCATCCATTCTAGTAATATCCACTTTGATCCAATCTGTGTGGCCTTAACGTTATTTGGAGCAGATGGTGGCGCTGTTGAAAACCATATTGGATTACAGTTTATAAGATTAAAAATGATAAAAAAATTGGTATTAAAGTGAAAACAGAATTGTGCACATTAGAAATCAATAATATAAAAAGAGTATAAGAGACGAAAATAAAAAATTTGCATTATTTATTTATATAGAAAAAAGGATTTAATTAGGACCGGAAATTTGTTTACAAAGTCAAAGAGTGAAAGTTTATAATGGAAAGCTTAAACGCCCTCATTGCCAATGATATATGATATTTCATCTCAGTATGCAGGGTTTCCAAAGAGCTACTAATTCAAAATATCAACATTTGTGCGTAGATAATTATACAATTGTATGATGCGATTTGTGGGTGGTAAAGTGTTAAGATAAATCAGCTGGAAATAGTAAGAGTTGTGGTTAGAGAGAGTGATCTTGAAAATAGAAAAGTGGATATGAATGAGGGTGCGTTTCACCGGGACAGGGGCGGATCCAGCAAAAAGCCTGATTGAGTTCTAGGCCAATGCAACATTCTTATTAATGCATTTTAGTGTGGGGGGAGGGCACTTTCCACTCACTAAATCTAGATTTTGGATCTCCTTTTAACAAAAAACAGTGCCTCTGCGAACTTGTGCAACCCCTTCTCAATATCATTAGTGTGGTGGAATTACGATTTTACCCGGACAAAAATAATAAAAAGCTGTAATTTGGCACATAGGTTCCATACGACACTGGGAATAACCAGAAAAAAGCCTCATCAATTGGACATTGGGAATTCCTTATTTGGGCAAATCCCATATGGCGCACTGATCAGCAGGGGTTCAAATTTTGATGTCGCTCAAACCACATTATATGTAAATATTCTGAAAGAAAGTTTCATGCTGAACAACTTTTATTCAACACACACGCCTTTACAATGTGGAAATAAGTACTTTCTGGTCAAAAATAGCAGATAGGGGGCAACTGGGCAATAGCATGTATACAGTGGTGGCGCCAAGGGACGGCTAGGGCGCTACAGTCCCTCCAAAGAAAGCATCTAGCCCCCCTATCGGAGGAAAATTTTAAGTTAATGACGGAGCAAATTTGACAAAATAACGTACAAAAACTGCATATTTTAGTCAATTTAGCCCCCTGTTGGAAGCTCAAACCCCTCTGTCGGAAGATTTCTGACGCCACCTCTGAATGTATATAAGTTTATTTATGAACAACTTATATATTAACAAGATCAAAACATGCGATGATGAAATCCTATCCAACAAGGAGCAGGTTAAGAATCCCGCTAAACATTTTGAAATTTCTGCATCCGTGTATTATTTTGAGAAAATCTGCGTCCGGCAAGTGTGTAGAATTCCCTCGTTCCGTTGAAAAATTGCCAGATTTCTGCAATCTACGACAAATTTCCCTAAAATTCTGTTTTTCCGCAAACTCTGATGACAACAGGGGAAAAAGTGAACCACGTTGAGGTATATAAATTTGTCCGGGTTTTCCGTTTTTCATAACTATTTACCGGGTTTTGGGTCCTAGGTACTCTCAAAACATCCTCTTTTTCACGTGCGCACTTCTCAATTGAAAAGTTTGCAATTTTTGGGATTATACGAAATTAGGAAGTTATCTCTTTTTCTGGTAAAGAAGGTCATAAAGGGAATATTACTGGCCCAACATCAAGCTGTAGTTTTGTGCAGCCACTTTGAATTTGCACTGAATTTGGCAGTGTTTTTTAATTTTTAATTTTAATTTAGTAAATTTGGCAGTGCAGTGTCTTAGTAACAAAAATTACGTCTTAGGAACAAAGATGGAGGTTGTCAATGAAAACAGGTTGAAAAACTATCAGAATTGAAATCTTCCTCTTTAAATTAGTTTATAATGAACGAATCATGTTGTTTGGACCGTTCGGTCGCGAGTTACTTTGTTTTTAATATTTAGATATTTCTTTAGATTTGACCGGAATTTGCTGCTGCAGTGAAAAAATTTCACTAGAGTCAGCCCGGGCTGAGTGGGCCCGGGTTGAGTCAGCCAAGGTTGATTGGGACCGGGTTTAGTCAGCCCAGGCTGAGTGGGCTTGGGTTGAGTCAGCCCGGGCTGAGTGGGCCCAGGTTGAGTCAGCCCGGGCTGAGTGGGCCCAGGTTGAGCCAACCTGGGCTGAGTGGGCCCGGTTTAAGTCAGCCCGGGCTGAGAGGGTATTATCATTCTTTATCTTTTTCACACACTTAATGTTTTTGCATCGATAGAATTTGCCATATAAAATGAAAATATTCAGCAAGAGGATCTGCCATTTTTTCGGCGCGGTTTTCAATATTCACTCGTCCCACTTTGTTTCTGCCCAATCACCACTAAATTTGCATATTCTATGGGTACGTATGTTAAATAAAAGTTATTCAGCATGAAATTATCTTTCAAAAGATGTACATACTATGTGGTTTTAGCAACATTAAAATTTTGAACCACTACTTATCAGTGCGCCATTATGGTATTTGCCCAAATAAGGAAATCCCAATGTCCAATTTATGGGGCTTTTTTTCTAGTCATTTCCAACTTAGTATAGAACATCTCTGCCAAATTACAGCTTTATATTATTTTTATCCGGGTTAGACCGTTTTTATATATAATTCCACTACACTACATATGCATGATGTTGGCTGAAATGTTGGATCGTTTGACCACCTTGTTGGCTCATCCAGCATCTTCATTTTTGATGGCAGTCGACATCCAACAATTCTATTGTTTTGAAATGTTGGCTGAAATGTTGGAACGTTTGACCAACAGCGTTGGATTACATCCAACATGAAAAAATGTTGGGCGAAATGTTGGGTGACAGGCTGGATCGTCTGACCAGGGCTTTAATTTAATGATCTGCTAGAATGCTGCGAGGGTCGCTGAGCTATTGTTCTGTTGTCCTCCGCAGTATCTGAAACATTGTTTTTAGCTTTGTGTTGGAAAACTGATTGAGTGTTGTCCACTAAGGAACTTACGCTGGATCCGCCTCTAACTGAGAGAACAACGAAGAAATCGTGAAAATAGAGATAATGTTTCTTGTGATGTAAAAGAAACCTGATATTATTGCAATCCACATCAAAGTAAATGACGGTGATTGCAAAAATAGTGATCATGCTAGCAAGCATAAAAAATGATTTTCTCTAGATGTGGCAAAATTTGCGGAGGCGCGGGGGGGGGGCAACCGCTCCCCATGTTTTGCTACCTTGTCGATTTTGTCGGTAAATGATGTCATTGGTCGGCAAATTTACTTGTTTTATAGGCATTGCCCCCCTCCCCTACCAGAAGAAAGGATTTCAGCCTCTGTTCCCTAGCTCTATCGTGCATCTTGGGCATTATGAAGATATTCTTTGCTACTTTTGATCCTTAAGTGACCTTCTAGCCACTTGTTTCATTGTATTTATGGGTACATAAATCTATTCATTCTCTTTCATAACAAAATCAATAATCTGTTTAAACTAAGCTCACCTTCACAGTCGACAGTTGGAACATTTTGATATAAAAGTGGTCTGTAATATCCATTGTTGCATATACAAGGTGTTGTCCTTGGCTTCACTCCGTCCTTAACATTTGCACCACATCTGTTGCAATTAAAGTTACCAGCAGCACTTTTGAAACTCTTTGCAGGGCATTCTGTCAAAAAATAGCCATGTTGACACTCCTTTGATTGCGATGATAGAAAGTTGCAAGAAAATTGATAGATATAAGTCCTATCCGTTAAAAATTAAATATCAGTTTCATTAAATTTGAACAGGAATTAGGCTGTATTAAAAAATTTAAAGTTTCTAGGATAAAAAGAAGTTTTATTACAATATTCATAAAAAGGAATATCACCTGAAGATTGGGTTACTATATTTCGACTCTATAAATGTTTTTGTAAAAGACAGAGAACAATGGTAAGTTTGTGTTATAACGTATTAATATGACACATTATAATTTTTTGATAGATATTGCACTTGCAATTTCTATAGCTGCTCATTCTCTTTAAGATTCTAGGAAGCTAGTTTAAAAATTTGCCAACGTACATAACAATGAGCCAACGTTCATGAAAAAGATGTAAAAAGTCCATTAAATTTTTTATATGTGACAGAATGTAGGTAAATAAGTGACAGAATAAAACAACTAAAAATAAAACATTCCAGATAAAATAATTTCACGATTCCTACCTCCAAGAGCCTTAAGATCCTTTATCAATCAACAGAAGACAAGATAATTTTTTATCATAGTGTTCATGAAACCATATTATTTGGCATCTTTAGGTGCACGGAATGAATGAAAAACAAAGTTTTGTATATGTATATGCGTTCATTTATTAAATAGACTCACCATTACAGCTAGTAAAAAAATTATTCTCATATCCAGCTATGCAATGACAGCCACCATTCACCTTAGCGGAGCCATTTGTATAACAAGACATGTAATTGGCTGCTTGCGAAATTTGAACATCAGCATTGGGAACACATGTTCCAAGCACCTCTAGGACTGAAACTGTGCTATTTGGAGCTGGAGTTTTAGGTGGAAATGACATTAATTCCCCTGCTGCACTTGGACATTCTATGTAACTAAGATGAAATGAATCAAGGCTTCCACAAATTCCTTGATCTCTGAAAGCAATAAAAAGTCCAGTCTCTCCTTCCATTCCAATGGTAATAGCTGATGTAAACTGTGCTCTAGAGAAGGGAGTCATTGATGAGGTATTCTTTAAAGCAGAAATGTACTTGAAGCTTTTAGCACTGGGTGTAGATGTTTCACCTGAGCCCAAAAAGACATAGACACCAATAGACAATTTGGCTCCACAGCAATTCAAAGTATAAGTAACTCTAAGGGTTATCTGTCTGGCTGGATTTGTAGTGACAAAGGGTGTTATAACATTACCATCTACTGATGGATCATTTCCGGCACAAGTGAAGAACCCTGTGTTATCTGGCTTTCGCCGCCACTGAAAGGAATGAAAAAGTCAATATCAGATGATCTGGTGCCTTGTTTCAATTTATGACTTAGCAAAAAAATGCACTTACTCACAAACAATTGGTGCAATAATAGCGCAAGATTAAATTAAAAATTTCAAGTAACAAGACATCGGAATAAAGATGGTCAAGGTAACTGATGCAGAGGTATGGAGGACAGAAAAACCAGAAAAATGATATTCTAATGATAGCTCTTCATGTAAAATGGTTTTTAATCACACCATTTCTTAATCCCTTGATTTATCAACCCAAAAAGCCAATAATACAAGAGCAACATGTCAGACAAAAACTTCCAGAACTTAAATTCAACTCTCAGTCAAACTGACAATTTTTAAAAACATAGCGAGTATAAAGCAGCTATAAAGGAACAAGTTTCATAGGTACATGCTATGCATTGTATGAAGGAAAATAAAGTAATCAAGAAGCGGATATTTTGGTCTTTATATGGGTGGTCGATTTCGCCCTCCCTACAGCCCTTGGGAAATTATTGGTACAGGCTATTGAGCATCCTTGCAAAAATGTGTCTGGTCTGCAAGGACAGGAAGAGCATTTACAGAAAAGTTAGTTTCTAAATAAATTAAAGTATTCCTGAGTGAAATATCAAGTTTCTTATGAAAACGAAGCATTCTTGTTTCACCATTCTAAATTTTGCGATAACCACGCAATTAGAAGAGCAAATACTAGACAATCGTGGGCAGATGATTCTTAATACACCCCTTAGGCCTTGAAGGACTATTTCTTTAACAAGTATTGTTAAATGGACAAAAGCCCTCGGAAGCTCTTCCACGAGGGCAGTTATTGCTTGTGAAAATTTCTTCGCTAAAGACTTTACGAGCATGTTTATTAGGTTGCCGAAATAGGCCTCAAGGTAGGTAACAAAATTCCATAAAATTAAGCATATACAATGTAAAAAGGCTTGCAAGGACCGAGATACCGGGGGGGTGGGGGCCGGGGTGGGCCGGAGGCCTTGCTCCCCTCTCAACAAAAATCTTAAGTGGCATAAGTAAAATACTTTTGTTTTGTAAAAAACGGCAGTTTTTGCACTGATTTATCATGGCTGCCCCAACCCCCCACCCCACCCACAAACAAAGAGTTGAAACTCGGTCTTTGATTGATAGTTCATGGTAGAAAATGGATTTCTTTTATTAAAAGAGTTTGACTTAAATTATCATTTTCTTGTCCATATGATTGTTTTGCTTTTTTGAGAAAAAATAAAGCAGAATTTTGAAGCACTACCTCAAAAAGAGCCTGTAACAAACTGCATAGCAGTTCATAAAAGATTGGATTACAGATTTTGTGATAAAAATGAAACATTGTGTTAAAACCAACAAGCATTCAATTTGTTCATTCAATTTGGGACCAGAAAATATTAATTATGATGCCTGGTGTATTTGACCATAAAGCTATTGTTTCGAATTTTCAACTAAACAAAGTATGATTTCTATCTTTCTACTTACACAGTTGAAAATCTCTACCTTTGAAATTGTTGATGGTTTTTCGAGTATTTGTGCAAGGATAAGATGCAGTGACGGATTTTTGCAACAAGGATAGGAGAGGGTGTTAAACGCTAATTGGATTTTTGTGACACACCCTTCAACTCACTGGAAAATGATAGAAACACCCATTTTCAAAACTCGGTTTTCAACTTTAAGGTAAAGAAGATAAGAAGAAAAAAAGGGAAAATCTTGGCATTATTTTGTTACTACTGACTACCAAAAAATATTAATCTATGGGGCGGGAGTCTAGCACCCCTGCAATCCCCCGCTAAATCCGTCCCTGATGAGATGGGAGATCTAAAAGTATGAATCATTGTGGCATTATATTATTTTCTGAGGCATTACCGTTTCTTATGTTAGCTGCAAAAAGACGCTTTACTTGATTATGTTCCTTGCTTATTTTGCCTGATACTCTAGGCTGATAGTTTAGACTGTGAGTGTTGCAGCACTCTCCCATTGGACAGGGTGTTGAGGTTGATCCTTACTTAGAGCTTTCATATATAGGGTGATAACCAGACCAAAGGTAGAGACTTTTAGACTAAAGTTTTATTAAATAGTCGTATTCTTCTTCAAAACTGATAAAATATTATCAGAAAAAATAAATCCTTCAATATTTTTCCAGGATCTTTCTGAAGCAGGGGGTTTTCCTGATTTGTTTTTCGTAAAACAGTAAACAATCTTTCCTTTTTACTTTGATTTAAAACCAATGAGATGACCAAACACTTTCATTCTATTATTCTATAATTTCTATTCATTCAAATTCTATTATTACCCACGTTTACTAAATAGGAAACAACGTGAAACAACAAGAGACTGATACAAACGAGACGAAACGACAAAGAAACCTCATGAAACGATTTGTGACTTAGCAGAAACGACTAAATCTCAAAATTGAGGAAATTTTATCCATTCACATGAGCATGGTCATCTTCGTCGCCCTGGCCTACGTGTTCTGTCATATCGTTCTCCTCGGCGATCGCTGTTGTCTCTGATCAGGATACCAAAACCCAGTGGTATTCTTTATTTTATCGCTTAGTGAAAATAACAGATAACAGAAACGAACTCCAATATACGAAAAAAAAACAGCTGTTCAGAATGAAAATCTTCTTGAACAATGTTTGAATGATCAGGAGTAAAATAAAATCGCAGCCGCAGTTGAAATTTTTCCCACCAATTTCTGCTTATTTCATAGTCGTTTCTATTTGTTTCTTATTGTTCCTACCCGTTCCCTACCCGTTCCCTACCCGTTCCCTACCCGTTCCCTACTTGTTTCCTACTTTTTTCTTCTTGTTTCTTAGTCGTTTCTACTTATTTCCTGTTAAAATAACAGCGATTATTACCATACCATGTCCCCTTGCCCTGAAATATTTATGTGTAGTTTTTCATGGTGACATGTTTATACTTACATAATTTCGAGGTAAAGGATTAGTGTCATTTTTCTTTAGCCTCCAAAGATAAAATCCAGGCAATGGAACAGGAACTGAAAAGAAATGACAGTCTATAAACAGAAAAGCATAAACCAGGATGATAGAAACATACAACATTAGGTCACTGATGCACTATCTCAAATTAAGAATTATTACATTATGGTACCATTTTTATCTATCTTATCTTCTTAAACAAATTAACTTATGGAATGCTTGAATGTTATGGAATAAAACCATTGACCGTGGCCCCCTATATTTTCAAAACAATAGAGCTATTTTAAAATCTTTTGTTATGGGAATTTAATTTTTTTTTGACTTTAAATCTAGCTAACAATCTATTTATTCCACTATTATCATTGTTATCAACAAGATTATTGATTTCCTCGAGATTTATTTCATTTTCAAATCCTTCGATTGCAGGACGAATGCTGGTCCTTGCCACACGAAATTTCACTGGAAATGAGGACAACTTTCCAGGGGTCTTGCAGAGTAGTGCAAAAACCATACCGTCTCCCGATAATCCTTTGTTTTGGTGAAATCTATATGGCATCGTTCGCATCGATTTTCTGACGGACATTATCTAGGCAAATCGCATATTTTTGATCGACTTTCCTATACAATTTTCCTATTGAGATTCTAAGTTAGATATCATACTTCGCACAACTTCGCACACATTTCGCCATTTTGCTAATTTATTCTCAGGAAGGTCTGCTGCTACTATTTTCACGTGAGAAAATCTATGTAAAACATTCTAACCTTCCAGAGAGGCTTTTAAACTTCGAGATGACATTTTTTAAAGAAGGTTCAGGAATAATCGGCATATATATATAAATATATATATATATATTATTGACTTAAAAGGCGGACATGGACAATCCGGAGAGCTACCATGTTTTGCTTCATGTCATATTTCTAGGAGAGCGTTCCCTGACCCTAGGTGACCTGTGATTCGTTGATGCAGACAAAAACTTCTTGTCGTGTATGACACGAGGTTAATCGGATTATCCGAACCGGATCCTTCACCTTCGCCTATTTAAAATTCTTAGGGGTCATCCATATAGTACGTACGCAGTTTGAGAGCCACTTCTTGACCCTCCCTCTCCCTTTGTACGCACATGTACGCTTTTCACATATCCCCCCTTTTGCGTACACTGCGTATGCGTCTTTTTTTGCCCCCCCCCCTCCGGTTTCAAGGTATAATACAAATAATTGAGAGTTTCCAGGGAAATTCAGGGAGCTGTCCATACTGACCATTCCTTGTTATAATATATGTTATTGCAGTTGTCTAATTTATGTAATCGTGTGAAGGACATCGAAGCAGATTCTTTAACATTGAACTTATTGTATTCAGCTTTCTAAAAGGCAAAGCCTTTCACATAGTTTTTATCGGAAGTTCGTCAAACAGAGTAGATTTGCAATAAACTTCCCATTAAAATCTCTGCCATATGAACAATGAATGAGCAAGCTTGCAAGGCTCAAATTTCGCGTTTAGGAATTTCTTAAGCGTACGTACTAAATACCCATTACACCCCATCCCCCCTTGTATGCAAGCGTGCGAATTTCGATCGACTCCCCCCTCCCCCTGAGTGCGTACGTACTTTATGGATGACTCCTTATCTATGCCACATTTTTGAGCTAAAGGTATTTGTAGATATTCTTCAGGTGTCATGAAGAAACTTGTAGATACAAACAGACTGAGAGTTTTTCAGATAAAGACACTACCTAGTCCCATACACCGAATAACTAAAAAATTTGCAATAAAGACAATGTTGTTTTGTGCAACAACAGAGTCACTGCTTACCTTCTGTTCCTTTGGTAAGATTCACAATACAGCGCAAGGTTAACAGGACTAGGCCCAAAATGGGATGCCATTTCCATTTTATACTCATGATGGACGTGAAACAGCAGTTGCTACGATGCCACAAATATTGGCGAGCTAACAAATGATACTACATAACATCTTCTAGCAACTGTAAACTAGCAAATCTCGAAATAGTCTCTTTCGTTGACCTACCAGCCAAGAAGTTGAACAAAAAAACATCACCAAAATATATGGCCTGCTCGTAGAACAATCAGTCAATGATTCGTGTAAAAGCAAATTCTAAATTTAGGCCGCAGTGATAGACTAAAGCAGATAAACTATAACAGTTAAGTCTGCAAAACAGTCGATGAAGCCACAAATGGCAAACTTGCTGCCTTTCTTCAATACCAAATACACACAAGTCTATGAAGTTATTACTATAAAATGTTATTGTATTTTTGATACACAATCGTCACTCGACACCATTAAGCAGTCATCTCAATTCCACTTCCGCGTGAAACTTTAGCCCTGGTTAGACTAGACAAACTAGCCTGGATTCGGTTGAGGGTTCGATTTTGTTATGTAAATGCAAACCAATGAGGTGTGTAGAGTACGCTAGAGGGATAACTCTGTAGTGAGGCAGTGAAGCATACTGATTTCCGCATTGCACGGCAAAAAGTGTCTTTCAGTGTCTGGCGTTCTGTTTCATATCGCTGTTATCAAGGACCGAGATACCTGAGTATTTGCCCCCAAAAAAAGCCTATGTAGCATAATTAAGATATTTTTGCTTTGTAAAATAAGGCTGTTGTTACGCTTATTTATCAGGGCTGCCCCTCCCCCCCCCCCCAAACAAAAAGTTGCATCTCGGTCTTTGGCTATTATGATGGTTAATTCGTGCGTTGCTTTTTGGTGTAAACATTAACATACTGATAAAAAAGGTAGTCTTTTAATAGAGTTGGATGTATGACGGTTGCATCCAGGGTAGGTGTGCCACAAGGATCAGTTTTGGGACCTCTCTTGTTCAATATATACATAAATGATATGTTTATGTTTATATCAAATAGCCAAATATGCAATTATGCTGATGACACAACGCTATATGTCATCCACCAAGACATTAAGCAGGCTATTAAAACACTAGAACAAGACGCAGTTATTTTGAGAGAATGGTTTAAAAATAATTATATGAAACTGAATTTGGATGCCCTTTAATTTGGATGTTTTGTGATCGACAGATGAACAACAGAATAAATAGAATTCATGAAAAGTCTTTGCGTCTTGCCTATGATGACTATCAATCAAGCTTTCAAAATCTTCTTGAAAAAGACAACTCGATGTCTATCCATGATGAAAATCTGCAACTGCTTCTTACAGAATAAATAAAACATTACATAATCTCAACCCAAGTAGAAAAATGAAAGACGACAACAAAAAGAAAAAAAGAAAAAGATGGAGTAGAGAAGAATACAAGGAAGTAATGTATTTTATTTTACTACGCACTTGAAAAACGTCAAACAAACAACACTGAGGACACTTTTGTTACATGGTGCTCACGCAACAGTAAGAGTGACAACATTGAAGCATTATATTCAAATAAACTACAATCCTTGCCAAAAGTCTTGGTACACCAAGCTGAAATTTTGCAAAACTTCAGTAGCATCCCCCTCTCCCCCTTGAAACGATGTTGAATAACAACAGTTTGAAAGTCGTCCAATGTCACCTAGGGTAAGTAATAGGCTTTTCAGCCAACATTGTTTTTGGGGGGAGGGGGGATATTTCTGTATCTTACAGCCGGAAACCTTTATTTCTTCAAAATCTTTCATTGGTCGCAGGGTGTTCCAAGGACTTTTTTCAAGGATTGTAGCAAATCTGAGGAGATATATTATGCGCAGCAAAAAACTGACAAAAGTTGAAAGTGCACAAAGCAATGAAACTGTTGTAAATGATACCCGAGAAAACGAGCCCGAAGAACGAGTAGAGGACGTTGAGGAAGTCGAGGACGGTGCTGAGAATGTTGTTGTGCCTAACGCTGTTGAGAATGCTCCTGAACATGGTCTGGAGAATGATGAAGAACAGAAAGGAATGTTGAACCAAGAGGAAGTTGTAAAGATGAGAACGGATATTTTGGAAGAATTATCTCTTATCCAGCATGCTATCATTAATGAGCGAGAGTCTTTATTGAAAATTCGACATACCAACAAATACAGAAATATAATTGAGGTCGGAAACGAAGCCCTAAAACAACTATGTGAGGAAACCGACACAAACCTTACAGAACTAAACGAACTTATATATGTAACCTCTATACTCACTGAAAGAACATACGCACATCTGGAAGATCACAAAATATTTCCAATTGAACAAAAAGACTGTCGGAAAGGCTCGTATGGTTGCAAAGATCAATTGCTAATTAATAAAATGATACTAGAAAATGCCAAAACCAAACACAAACACCTGAGTACTGCTTGGATAGATTACAAAAAAGCTTTTGACAGTGTTCCCCATTTCTGGATTTTACATTGTCTAGAAACTTTCAAAGTCTTCCCTGTGCTAGTTAACTTTCTTAGAACATTTATAAAGCTGTGGGAAACTAACCTTACTCTTTCCCACTCAAACAGAATTTTGAATGCTAATGGTATGCACATAAAAAGTGGAATTTTCCAGGGTGACTCTCTCTCTCCTCTTCTGTTCTGCATGGCACTTGTACCGTTGTCCCAACTCCTGAATGATACTGGGTATGGATACAAGATCGGGAATAAGAAGATAAATCATCTGCTTTATATGGATGACCTGAAACTCTATGTCAGTAATGATGATGAACTTGAAGGACTGCTAAAAACAGTAAAGGCATTTTTAATAAAGAAGATGTTTTCAGATGTTTATTATTTTGTTGTGGAAATTACAATTTCCTTTTTCATTTTATATGACGCTTTGTTGATAATTATATTTTCACCACTTGAATATTCACTGCGACATTGAATCCACACATCTTATTAAACAGTGGCTGTTTAGGCCGATTACAGCTGCTTTCTCTTCAATGTTTGTTTTATAACACGAAGTTTTGCATGGTTACTCATTTCTCATGGTTACTAGACTGACTTCTAAAAATCTCTTTTCATAACAATTTTTCTGTTATAGTATTTATAATGATATGAGGCAATATTTCTTTTCATCAGAGGTCGAGAAGCCCCGTCGATATCTAATTACCGACATCGAGTATATCGAGTATATCTGTGAATTAAGGAAGGGTTTTCTTACCTTAGTTCATAATTCATTAATGATGCCGATCAAACGAATAAAAAGGACTTTTTCAAAATATCAACATTAAAGCTGATTATAACGACTTAAGGCATGTTAAGGCTTCATTGGCTACAAATGGAGGGCAACACACTACTCCTGACTCTTAAAATCTTTATTTTCTTGTCTTTTGCACTTGCCGATTCGTTCTTTTATCGTCATGATTCTGTAAAATCTTTAGAGGCGGCTTCATCAAATTCTTTAAGCTTAGACGAGTCTTTCTTTGCCTGTGACAGAAATCCGAGCTGCAAAATTTAACCTCCCCACCCCCTCCCCCAGAACACGCATCCTGACACGTAAAGTTCGCATAACATTTTTTTGATGAGCTAACACAACGTTAAAATGGTCAAGAAATTCTTGCTCTACAATTTGAAAGACTTTTCAGCTTGTTTTTCACTCAAGACTTTAAATGGCTTTAAAATTGCTACGCGACTTCAAAGATACATGGGACCAAAACTGCTCCTAAATTCATTTTGCCCTCTATCAAAAATGCAAACTTTGTCACCAAAGTTAAGTGAAAAGAAAATAACTAATGAAAATTCTAATTGTTGTTCATTAAAGAACACATCCTAAGAAGGTATCATAAAAGTTTTAAGTTTATGCAATACACGCTTTTTATACAAGAACAACTCTTACTCTTATAAAAAATACCAGGCTGAGATTTGCCCGAAAATTAAGGACAACATAACAAACAAGACAAGCTGAAATTAAACAAAAAACAAGAGATAAAACAACAGCGAAAATTGAAAAATGAAGAAAAAGAAACAGAAAATTAGAAAGTGATAGGTAAAATAGCATCAATTACTTTATCAAACACATGCCATGTCCAGACACTACTATGCACAGGAAATTCCTTTAAAAAATAAGAAACAAAATAAGAAACACATTAGGCTAAATTTATGTGAAAAAATAAGAGGCAACAGGCTGACACTGGAGCCAAGTGTTCTTATAAAAGAATGTGTATTAATTTTTTTCCAGCCTCGATAATCCCTAGAAATGTTCGCTTTTAGCCTGAATGTATTCTTAAAGTATTATTCTTTCAAATCTGATTTCAAATCGGTTCCCAAGTTCGAAGAGGTTGACGACACAAACTTCATCTCGAAAGACCCGCGAATCATTGACGACATCGAAACGAAGGCGGCCCAGGTTCTCGGACGTTTCGACTTGGTGGTCAACGCGCAGAAGACGGAGAGACACAAGATAGACAAGGAAAGAAATGATCAAATCAAGATCCTCGGCTCCTTCACTGATATCATGAAAGAGATGAAGAACAGAAAACAAATGGCACAAGCCGCTTTCTCGCATCACCACCACGTGCTGACAAATGAAAAGCTCGCTGCGAGCACAAGAATCCGAGCCTTCAACGTGTACGTGAAGCCGGTCCTACTGTACAATTGCCAAACATGGGACCTCGGTGAGGCAGATCGCGACGCGCTGGACGCCTGCCACAGAAGGCTCCTGCGGAGAGTGCTACGTGTTTTCTACCCAGCAAAGCTGCCTAACGACGAAGTGTATCGTCGCGCGGGTGTGGAGAAAGTGTCGACAGAGGTGGACCGGCAAAGATGGGCTTTCGTCGGGCATACCCTGCGACACGGGGGCCCCGCCCGCGCGGCGATGGAGATGTACGAGGAAACTGCCAAGGGCAAGAAGAGACGAAGGGGGCAGCCCGCGCACAACATCGCGCAGACCGTCTCGAAAGACATGGCGCAGAAAAACTGCACAGCGAAGGACGCCCAGGACCGGGCACTCTGGAGGCAGGCCAAAAAAGAAGAGCCACGAAGATCCAGCCGTAGCAGAAAGGGCCAAAGGCAGAAAGATCCCAACTTCATGTACTAACTCTCTTTTCTTCTCTCTTCTTTTTCGGAAGTTTTATTTTTATTTTTGTAAAAATCACAACTTGTCACCGAACCCAATGAATGAATCTGATTTGGTTTCAGGGTAACATCGCTCATACCCGCATAGAAACCACGGTTTATGAAGAAAATGAGATATACGAGTCATGCAATTCTCTGTCATCAACATCACAAAACAGGCAGCTGAAGAATGAAGGACAAAAATGGGAGCCGAGGTTGAGCAATATTTTTAATGAGATTCTAAAAAATGGGATGATTCTGGACCCTAATATTCTTATAAACAATATTCTAACATAAGGAAAAGAATGTAGCCACAAAGAACACAACCGAGTCACCGAGTAGTACAACATTTAATTCTATTTGATTTGATTTAAAATAAAAATATAATGGTATTATCATACTAACAAATGGCGAAAATCAGTTAATTCAGATATGGCACGTGAAAAATATGACATTTAGCTCAAAATTCTTATTATTTTGAACCGATACCGAACTACAAGAAGTATAAATAATATTTTTTACAAAATCTGCAATATATCCCTTACCAATCCAGTATACAGTTGAAGTATCTAACTAAGCAAGAAAAAGTCCAAGAAGCCTTACGTTAACAATAGGTGTATGCTCATAAAAAGACTCTACAGAAAAAGCAGGGGTGCCATGAAGGGGGACTCTTGGGGCTCAGCCCTCTCTTCGCAAGCCAGTTTTTGTTTAGTTGGAGGAATTCTTTACTTGGAAATTTTAACTATGCTCTTAACTTTTCGTGAATAAAGAATTTCCTATAAGTAGTTCTAAGTCAGTTAACATTTTGAACGATTTGATATACACAACAGATCAGGGGTGTAGTGTTATGGGGGCTCGGGGGGCTGAGCCCCCTTGTTAATGGCGAACAGTAGCCAATTTCTACTTTTGCTATTGTTTCTCGCAACGTTTTGTGCAAGGCCCTCCTTGTTATTTTGATTGCAACACCCCTACAACGGAGAATCTCTAACACAAACGCAACTATATTGAGAGTGAGCGTGTGTGTGGTTTTGGGCGTGGCCTGTACAGCACAGCCCCCTTCCAACGTTTTAGCACGGCTCCCCCCTGCGGAGAAGGTAAAAAGTACTTCAAACCCATAAATGAGTTACATTCCTTTTGGCTTTTAGAATGTTGGTCATCCCTCCCCTCTCTTAAATTTGCTGCCATGAGATTAAAACCTGTTATGAAAATCAGCTAAAAGACATAATAAACTCTTTTGCAAGATGTAAATAGATTAGGAAAAATATCTAGCTTACAAATTTCAAATGTGGGTTATGTAAAATAACGTATTTTTTTTAAAACCAAGATTCTTCAATAGCGAAAGTATAAATTAGCAGCAACCAACGATTACAACATAACGACTTCATTCAACGACAACTTCGACTCGACTCGACTTACACTGAAAGAACATACGCTTTTAACAACATGAGTGACGCACACAAAGCCCTAATGACACAAATTAATGGCAAATGACTAAAAACAACTAAAATAACAATGGCACGATGACAAACAAATGGACTGACGCAAACATCGAAAGACATCCTCATTAACGATAACGAACCACAATTACGATTCACGACAGACAAAACTAGTTGTATAACAGTTACCTATTAGCTTAATACTGTATTTTTCAACCTCTTAAATCAGCATCTGTATATTTTTGTTAAAGGTGAAAGTTTTCAGAGGTCTCTTAATGCGCCCACCATCTATTGTTCCATTACAACCAATTTTAGTAAAGTAGTATCAATTTTTACCGTTATCATTTTCGTTCAAATTTATCGTAAAGATGTTTCTGGAGAGAACATGTTCTTGCATATCTTCTTGTTCTTATTATAAGTTCTAATGAAAAAGTGAGCAAAGCTATAAGGGCCTTTCAATTATAAAAAGGGTTGAGAACTATCGAAACGAGAGCAACAGTCAAAAAAGTCAAGGAATTTCCCTCTTCACGTTTCTAAGTTGCTTCGTTGGCCATCTTCAAAATTTCTTTAAAGAAACTGAATTTTATGAAAAAATCAGTATCTTTAAAAATCAGGACTTTAAAAATTTAAAGAACGAAGAAAAAACAAACATTTCTCCCTAAAACAGGCACCGCAGAGCGTTGACAAAAGAGGGGGGTCCAAAAGATAGCAAAGCCTCCCCCTTCTGCTCCCCGGTGTCTGTAAGAACAAGAGAATGCCAAAGTCATTCTATGTAACGTTAGCGTATTCAGTTTATCCATTAACTTTTTTTGCATGGTAATTCTCTCATTTAATAAATAAAATAATACGGACACAATTTTTATAAGGTTCCACTAAAAAGTTACAATACATACTACAAACTACGCTACTACCAAAAATTACTTTACTACAATACAGGGAACGCCACTATAGGAAGCAGAAGGCTGTGGCTACTGCAGGGCCATTACATAAAACTACAATTGACTGTCTCAAACAGTTTGCGAAAATAAAAAGTTAAAACAAAACAGAATAGGGCCAAACGGGACTTTACTTCAAATAGGACCAAATGGCTGCGTTTGTTGGTCTACAATGAAGTTGGTTTAATCAAATCGGTCAGATTTATGAATGAATTGGAGAGTGAGGAGAAGTAAATTTCTATTGAATTCGTCAAAAAAGTTTTTATCACCATACAAAAAATCTGCATTAGATCGTTGTTTGGAAGATTTGCATATCCAAATGGTTGTAATAAATCAAAATCACGTCTGCGATGGTGCAATATACAGTCCAGGAAGTCTTGGAATTCGCAACGGCAGCCGAAAGGAAACAGAACACAAATGCATTTAAAGGAACTAGAGAAAGGAATTTTGAATTGAGAGGAAACTCAGAGAGAATTGAAATTTTCAGCTCTCTTTAAACCATAAATAGATCTTAGTGAAAGTAGAATAAGATATGTACTGAGATATACTGAGAAGCAAGCGACACGACCAGGGCAGAACTGTCTACAAGTCACCAAAGTTAACAACTGCAACCTTTTAGAAAGAGAAATAAAATCATCATTGCTTAGAAGGAATAGCCTGAGTATACAAGCAAAAAGTATCCTGGGTACCAGAGCCACCTAAATTCGAGAGCCGCACATTTTCTAGGACGCAAGGATTCATTGTGTATCAATACGGAATGAATTCTCTGTTGGAAAGTTGTCACTTTGTAATTTCTATGGACACACTTTGGCCAATTTCTGCAAAAGAAAAATTACCTGTTTACTAATGTCCTCTTCATGAAGTCACAAGAACTCCTGGATCTGGCTTTCTCCTGGTTGTGATTAGAGAAACCAGATCGATTTTACAATAACTTATACAAGGATAAACAATCCATCCTGGGAAAATTTCATCACAGAACCTTGAAAAGAGGCAAAACTCAAGTCAATCCTGACCATGAGGTCGTGAATGATGAAATATCCTCCACTTCATTCGTTGCCGATAAAGCAGGAAAGCAATTTTAAAGTTGAATTTGGAATGTGTTAGCAATGTTTTCGTGTTACAATGCAATAATAACAAGCACAGCAGTAACTAGTTCGTTCCATCCAGCATACCACAGACGGTACTACTACATTTATCTTTATTAACACTGACAAAAACTACGACTTAAAAGAAAGACTGGATTGCAACTCTAGTAATGTTATTTACGCATAACAATGCAAACGCTGTTTGAGTAACGGACACAAAAACGCCAAACGGCATGAACAGAACCAATTGAGAGGAGAAAAACATGCAAAGAGACACACGATGCACATTCAATACAAAAGCGATTATGCAAGGCTGACTGACGCAAAGAAACTCGATCATCTACATAAAATCAATCAGCTAAATGATAAATGTGCTTGGCTTTCAATCCCAAGACATAAAGATGGAGAAAACCCAGAACAAATGGTGGGGACAAATGGTGGGGACAAATGGAGGGGACAAATGGAGGGGACAAATGGAGGGGACAAATTGAGGGAACAAATGGACGGGACAAATGGAGGGGACAAATGAAGTAGACAAATGGAGGGGACAAATGAAGAGAACAAATGAAGGGGACCAATGGAGGGGACAAATGGAGGGGACAAATTGATGGGACAAATAGAGCAGACCAATGGAGGAGAGAATATAAGAACCATCGATTCCCATGACCTCGAAACCCTGGTCCTTATAACAAACTTCGATAATCACTTTCAAAATTAGCAAAACTTTAATACAAGATTAAAAATTTTCAATTCAAAGGAAAGGTCAAAACAATCTAAAATGACTTAAATTACGTACGTTTATAACATCATTTGATGAACATGATTTTCCTCCAAGCCTTAATTGTCGTTTCAAAGATCATTTGAAGTGCTTTGGGTTGATTTCAAGCTCATATTTCAAGAAAAACATACTAATCATTTTTTAAAAAACTGTGAGCCCGAATATGCAAAAAAATTAAAAATTGTAAATTTTTGGGAAAATTCCTTTTTCCTCAAAACAGCCTAAAACGCCTTAATTTAGGTTTCAAACACCATTTTACGAATTTTGGATGAATTTGAAGCTAATATTCTGAGATAAGTTATTTATAAGATAAATTTTGAAGATAAGACAAGTCATTTTCAAGAAAACTTTGATCTTTAATAGAAAAGAGCTAAAAAAAATTTATTTTTCTGAAAGAAGCAATTTTTTTCACGAAACAACCTAAAATGCCTTTATTGTCGTTTCAAACATCATTTTCACATTTTACATCATCGTTTTAGTGTTTTTGATGAAAGTCAAGCGCATATATCAAGATAAACATCCTAGTCTTTTCTACTAAATGGTTGGACCCAGGATATGCAAAAAAATTTTTCGGGAAAAAACTTTGTTCCAAGCAACCGAAAATGCCTTAATTTACGTTTCCAACATAGTTTCACAAGTTTTGGATGAATTTCGAGCAGATATTCTGAAACAAAAATACTACTCATTTTAAAAAAAACAATGACCCCGGATATGCAAAAATTAGAAATCATCAACTAATATAGAATAATTTTATTGTTGTAGAAAAACATTAAGTTTCATTAAATACCTTTTTGTTGTCACTTCAAGATACTTCCATGACATTAGAAATCAGATCTGAAAGAAAAGGTTAGGATGATATTATAAAAATTCCATCACAAAAAAACCTCTAAAAGACGTCACAATAAACAACTGGTCACAATCAACCAAAATTATTTTTTCAGGCAACCAAAACTGCCGTATCTTATGTTCGCAACAGTATTTGATAAATTTTTACCTTATATTGTCAGTCAAAATTTCTACCTTATATTTTTCAAAAAACTGTGGCCCTGGATATGCATAAAAAGTAAAAAATTATCAATTTTTGAAAAAAAACTTCTTTTCTTGAAGCAAGCTAAAATGCCCTAATTTAGGATCCTAACATCACTTGAGATGTTTTGAATAAATTCCAAGCTCATATTTTAAATAAACATACAAGTAATTTTTCAACAAAACTGACACATCGTGGACTCCAATATTAACATATTTTTGGCAGAGAGTGCAAATTTCGGATGTCAAATACATTTACTCTAATATTTGGTTAAGCATAAAAAATGTAGGGCGCTCTTCAGAAGTAGGTAAGGGGTACTCGTCAACAAATATGAGAGATGCAAATAAGAACTTAACCATTGTTTCTGAAAAATTGGTGGGTTTGTGCCCCAGCCCCCTGATTCTCCTGAATTACACATATAATACCCCCCCCTCCCCCCTAACGTCACACATAGAAATCATCTAGACCAATATTTACGTATGTTTGTCGTGCCCCCCCCAACCCCCTCCCCTTCAACGGAGACAAAAGTTACTGTAGCGTCCATCTAGTATGTATCGCATAACCAAAATGATTAACTTCATACTCAAGTTTAATAGACTTGTTGAATATTGAAAGGAGATATATTGCAACATACCGCCGTATCACAATCGATTTCTCGTGTGTCAGCAACTCCGGACATTGGATCCACTTATCAATCGTGCCACGAATGTCCTTAAATTTGGGTCTTTTCACGCGATCTTTGTGCCAGCAAGATAACATAAGATCGTGCACAACTTTAGGGCAGCTCTGCAAGAGATTTTCAATCGTAAACAGCTGCTTTTTATGTATCCACTTGAGTTAAAAACAGCAATAGTTGCGTTGATGAGCTCAAAGACATTAAACAGAATTTCTTTGGCTATTTAAGATCTGCGGCCAATGTAAGGTTAGGTAAGGAGGGAGGGGCTAAGAAGAGAGAGAGTCTGGGAAGCAAGGAGAGAGTAAAGCGTTTCAAAGTTTGCAAACAGCGAGAAGAAAAAAGGGGTGTCGTGAAGCAACCTACCGTATGGTAAAGTAAAAACCTACTTTTTTCAGAGTTGGGCAAAACAGGTTCTTGTTTTATGAGGTACTTATTGACAGTTTAGGCTAAATAGGTTTTTAGTTAGTTTCTCAATTTTTGAGAAGTAGATATTGTTATTGATTATCAGAAAATAGCATTAAATCTGGTTTGTTGTTTATTCGAAACATCTATTAGTATACCTTTAAAGTGCTGAAATTCAATAAGACCAACCCCCCCCCCCCCACCTCCGAGGAGGGTGGCTTAAAAGAGAATTTACGGCAGTAGCAATAATTGATTTAGAATAACAGTTCAAATTTGAAATACATTGTGCTTGTTGAGTTTTATTTTAACAATTCAATTTCTTACCACTTTTTTGTTGTTGGTAAAAAAGTATTTAAATTAAAAAGTATTTGAATCCCACATACAGAAACCCATAACAAATGAAAGTTCATTGCACATGATGAGAACATGTATAGAAAAAACAAATTATTGGTACGAATGCATATATTTTCAGCAATCTAGGGTATGGATGCATTATCAGCAAGTTAATTTATTTTTCCAATTAAAATTTGTAGGCCAATAAAGCAAGTTACATCAATCATTGGCAACAGCTTTGCAACTGTTTTTTAACCCTTCTGCGATAGAAGAAGAAAAGTGTCTGTAGAATAGTAGGCCATCAGTAGGCCCGCAGAATTTGCTTTTGTCGGAAAATCTTTAGATCAAAAATGCTGTTGCAAGGAACTCTATGGATCAGAATAAATCAACTGCTTTTACGTCGGCGTGGTAATACCCCGATATAGACTCTAGAGTTTAAAGCAGATAAAGCTCACAAACATAAGCAACGAAAAAAACAAAGAACAGACAATGTTTAAGCTAGGTGTAGCCTCGATATAAAAAGAACAGAGCATGGCATATTTGTCATATCTTGGGTAATAGATCAAAGAAAGGCTATGAAAAGCTGTAGTAAAGATCTATGAAATCTAGAGACTTTTAAACGTAAAACATACCATTGGCGGAGGGAGTCTGAAGCCAGAAGCCAGACGTTCAAGCACCTAAAAAAAGAACTAAGGCTTAAATCGAGATTTAAGTTCTGAAAAGAATCCGCCAACAGTCGCATAAAGAAATTAAATATTCTTCCTTCCTTTATTGTACACATATATTTTGTTTTTAGGCGTTGTTTATTAAAGTATACTGCTTAACTTTAAGTTTTCTCCAACTGTTTGATTTACGTCTGTTTAATTGCTAAATCTTTCGTACTTGTTTTTTCCTTATTTGTATTCACAAAAGTTTAAAAATCTCTTCTGCTTGATTCATCTTTAAAGAAAAACATAACATGATTGCCAACATCTTTGAAAATTGTTGAAAAAAACAATATTCCCCTTACCTTTATAGAAAATGGATTTAAAGAGTTTAAAAGTTTAAGATCTTGGTGATCAAGTAAGGAAATAACGAATGGACCCTAACTTCCATTATTCAGGTTTAGAATAGTGACTAAAAAAGTCATCGCAATGCCCGATTTTTATTATTATCGTTTCAAGCATTTCCCTAACGATGGAAATGTATAAAGTAAATTTCCCTATCGAATATACCTCATTATTGCCCCAGTTCCAATATGGCCTTTCTCCGTAACACATTACCTCCCAAAGCAGGATACCATAACTCCAAACATCCGAAGCAATAGTGAATTTCTTAAGTTGGACTGCTTCCGGTGCTGTCCATTTGACAGGGATCTTACCACCCTGTAAAAAATAATTAAGTAGAAATATATCAAGAATGATCTCGTTTACTAGCTTCAGGGCCTGCGCCACCGATTCTAAAATTGGGAGCTAAAAAGATGGATTTGATACCTATTTAATACCCACTAGGAGGATTTGGTATCTATAGTTATCAAATAAAAATGGGGGGCATGGCCCCCTGCCTCCCCCTGTGGCGTGGGCCCTGAGCTTAGATCTATAGCGAAATTGTATTTAGACAAAAAAGGTTTGGAATGAATGGTAGCAGAGTAGATTGTGTTGCAAAGGTTAGTCACATGATTACTGGAACCTGACAACAACAGCCATGCATAGCCATAGGCCTACAATTCCGGACAAAAATGTTGAGAGAAAAAGCAACTTTCGTAATTGTCACTTTACCTTGTCCCTGTTAATTCGAATCCCCCTTTTCCCCCGAAGCAATGTTGGATTTGTAGTTCTATCATTTTTGCCTCACAATCATGCACTCAACATTAAATTGGGGGAGGGGCAAAGCTATTTTTGAAAAAACAGTGAAAATATAAGCATTCCTTGCAAAGTCTCAATCATTTTTGTCCGGGATTGTAGTTCCTTGGCTGTAGCCCGACAAGCAAAAGCCAATTGCTTACAGTTAAGAAATTCTAGTTCCAGTTTCAGATTCAGAAGAATTTCAATACTGTTGTGCCTCTGCCATGAAAACAATGGAATGATCGATGAAAGAGGAAGATTCTCTTTAACAAATATACGCTCAGCAAATGTTTTGATTCTGGGCAGCAAGATGGGTAATAGATCCCAGTGCTTGCACGAGATTACCCTTTACATAGACCTAAAGATGATTATTCTGCTCCAGTATGACATATAAGAAAAGAACAGCAAATATGATAAGGTGATCTGACATGAATTAAGTATAATTCAAAGATATTTGTTTTTCATCTGCCAATAGGATATAAATCTGTGAATGAAACATTTAATTACCGTTGTGTCATATGTATCTTCCTTGCTCAATTCTCTGCTCATTCCAAAATCAGCAACCTTGCAAACCATGTCATCATTTACTAAAATATTTCTGGCTGCCAAATCCTGAAATGATAACATAAGTTAAATTGGAGTACAGTTTGTAAACGTGACAATACTTAAGGACTGCTATTATGCGCTAACTGTCAAAGTTTAAAAACAGTGTGCGCATATTTGAAAATGTACCATTTTTCCCGATGACTGCATATAAAATTGAGTGTATTTTATCCTATTGCAATTGCTATTATCATAATATATTTGCCAGCCGTCAAATCTAATCATTTCTCAATAGAAAACTGGCATTCTTTGGAAACAGAACCAATGGAAAACGAACCTAGTCCGGATCCCCTTCTACATTATTCTAATGAGAATATTCGAAAGAAAATTTTGCTGAATCTCAATTTTGTACAGGCAATACAAGGTAGACGGTTACTAAAGCTTTGATTGACGATAAAACCAACACCTACCCTGTGGATGTAGCTCTTTTCAGACAGATACGTCATTCCAGAAGCCACACCCCTTGCCATTCCTAGTAACTGGAGTGGAGTAAATTGATCATCGTTTTTCTGTGGAGATATAAAAGGTTCTGTTACATTTCTTCAGATTGAGAGACTCAATAAGCCAAAGAAGAACAAATAGCAATGGAACATAAGTAGAATATTTTTGATACAAGTTAAAATTCACTAAAATTTCGACCCGGCATTAAAAGCACTGGCGCTTCTTCAGATACCTTAAAAGCACTGGCGGACTGCTATCACTCTGTTTTTCTGCGACCACGCCTACTACTTTCCACACATTTTCCTACTAAAACAATATAAGGAGTACCTAGCCCCTTCATTAGTTATGACAAGGGAACTGGGTTCTAACAGCTATATCAAAACAACAGTACATAACAAAGGATTCTAAACTTTTCAACTGCTTATAAACTGATCCAAGATGGGACATTCAATTGGCTTTAGTTATGAAAGCAGCTAGTTTAAAGTATTATTTTTGCTTAATTGAGATTGATTCATAAAGGTGATTTCAATATAAAGATTAGGTTAACTATATACTCATACCTAATTGAACAAGTTGCAAAAGTTTGAGGGAGTAAATTGAAATTTAGTTAGCATACTTGTAGAAAGGATTGAAGCGATCCATTGCTCATGAATTCCATGACAATCAATATGGGAAGGTCTAAAAAAAATAAATATTTTGTAAGCATTGGCAGACAAACTTGAAAACCACGTAATTTATGTTTCCCGAAACGAGACAGGAAGTGCTTCGAATCACAAATATTGAGAAGTACTGAAATGCAAGCTTAGTTGTTACAAGGTAGATTGCACATGGGTAGACTGGCTAGGCATTGAGTTGCATGCTCACAAACAAAGAAATCTACAAATCTATCAGAAGATCTGGAAAAGACATTTTTTCAACGCAATAAATTATACACACTTTTTTATAAGAATAAAGTCTATAAGAACATTGAGGCTCAAAATTTTTAAAGCTTAAGAATGGGCTTAAGGCGAATTTACAACTTGTGTTAGGCAAGAATAATTTAAGAATAATCTTGGGCACAGAATCGGAAATTTTTAAGAAAATCGAGGCTTGGCAAAAAAATAGGTATTCTTATAAAAGTGTGTATACCTTTAACGACCACACCCTCGAGATGTATGACATTTGGGTCATCAAATTGTCCCATATACATTGCTTCTCCCAAAAAGTCATCTCTTGCTTTCTTATTTGCATTTGACTACAAAAAAAGGGAGAAAATAATTGTTTTTCTATTTCCTTTTCAAATAATTTAAGGAAAGTAGCCCTTCAGCAAATTCTTGTTTTACAACGAGCCCTCCATTTAATTTACAATTTTGCAAATAAAAACCAAAGCTAATTCATAATATAACTTAAAATATATAATATAATATATATACATTATATAAAATATATAACATATATACAAAATAAATTTACAATATATACATAGATATATAGTTCAATAGGTTGTATCTAATTTTGGTTCTGAAGACATGTAGGGAAGATACCTGTCTACTGGTAGAGAATTTTATGCCTGTACGCTTTCCATGCCTGTACGCTACAAGATGAGCATTTTTGCCCAAGATAAGCATCTATATTGTTTTTGCAAAGAGCCCGCAAATGACTTCCTGAATTTCTTACAAATAAGTCCGATAAACATTCTGGCGCTAGTCAATTAAATGCCTTGTAAACGAAAGTGTTAATATCAGTATTGATTTAACCCTGCAGTGGTTTAAGTCCAAGAGTATTTAAAAGTGGTCCAGTATCAGAATCAAAACGGCTATTTGTAATTAATCTTCTTGCTCGGTTTTGAAGTTTTTCCTAATGGTTCTTTTCGGTTGCAGCACAGTTTCCCCAAACTAAGCAAAATTATCTTAATTAGGGCTCCGTAGGGCCCCTTATGTCTGATAACCATATTGTTAGATTCAGTATTGATCTAAACCTGTGGTTCGAGTCCAAGAACATTTAACAGTGGTCTAGCATTAGGCTATTTCTGATTATTCTTGCTGTTCGATTTCAAGTTTTTGCAAATGTTTTTTCGGTTGCAGCACAGTTTCCCAGAACTAAGTAACAGTATCTTAATTAGGGCTCTACAGTACCAGTATAAAGCATAAAGTGTCTTGGGAATTTTCTGTGTTAAAAATTCTTTGGCATTTTTAAGAAAGCCAATTGCTCGACTGATTTTTTTGACAGAGATCTGATGTGACCTTTCCAGTTAAGGTTGTTGTCTAATTGTATTCCAAGACATTTGGCAATTTTGACACTATATATTCGTTCTTCCTGTCTGTTTAAAGATAATGCTTTATTATTATTAGCTACCTGCATTGCCTTTTGTTTTGCTGGAATAGCCATTGCTTTTGTTTTAGCAACATTTAGTGACAATCCTTCAACCATTTCAAGACTCTAGTAACGTCCTTATTCATTGCATCATTTAGCTAGTTAATGTTATCAGATCGATAAGAGAGACTAGTATCATCAGTGTAAACTGCTACTTTGAAATTTTCGCCAGCTAGTGGTAGATGGTAAATATAGAGAAGAAATAGCAATGGCCCTAAACATGAGCCCTGGGGCACTCCAATATTAATGTCCATTAGTTCAGATACAACTCCATTTATACTTAAGTACTGTTTGCAAATTGAAAAGCAAGACTTAGAAAATGATAACAGCGTTTTTTGGAGACCATAGTGCTCTAATTTGTGACATAGAATACTATGGTCTACAGTGTCAAATGCCTGTCTAAAGTCGATCAGTAGTACCAAGCCAATGAGCTGCCTATTGTCCAAACCACTGTACAAGTCATCAGTGTTTTTAATAGACAGATTACGGTAGAGTGCAAGGCACGAAAACCAGATTGTGGATTTGCAAGCAGGTCATTCAATTTTCAAATGTTTGTACAACTGGTTACAGAATTTTGAAGAGCCTGGAAATGGCTGCGGAACCGATATTGGATGGTATTTTGATTTTTTGCTTTCATCACCATCTTTGTAAATGGGTGCAGCCCTAGCAATTTTTCAAAAATCAGGAGTGACTATTCATAACGTTTCCAATTTCACTGTTGTTTGTGATTTCCTGGCCACAGTTCTTGATGCAATCATCACATGAAGAAAACTCACAGAAAGATGAAAAGTTTGCTGTTTTCACTGAGAAAATGATCCATGAATATTTCTGGCGCTTTGGAAAGATTTTCTTGGAAGATAGCAACATAATATGCGGTGTTTACAGAACAACCCCGAATAACAAAACCTGCACCTGCAACAATGTTTCTGCCCATCTCAGAAATTTTGTTGACCTGCAAGTTCTCAACCTTTTCAAGAAGCATACATTGTGCAGCCTACATCCTTTGCAACATCATAATATGAAAGACCTGTCTGTCTGTGATGTGTTTGCTAGTTTATTTCTTTTTTTTCCTAACGCTATTTCTTTATTTTCCTCTCACTTTAGTGAATCAATAATACTTTGTCACTTACATGTCGCAAGTTAGAGTTAGGCCATCAATTTTACCTAACCATTCAAATACTTTGGGAAGAGGAGTGTAAATGTATTCAGAACCTACACTAGAACTATTTTGATTTCGCGGCTTCATTAGAATCCCAGGTCTTATGAAAAACATCTATCCTGTTTGTTCACGAAGAACATCACGAAAGATCACAAACTTATACCTTGAGTGTCTTAACGGCGACAATTTGTGCTTTTTCGGAAGGTTTTTCCATAGTTCCTTTGTACACATCACCAAATTCACCTAAGAATAATTTTTAATTGCAGAATATTCATAGAATTCGACAAATTCCATTTCTATTCTCATTAGCCTACAAGCCAAGATGATGGTTGCCAAGGTCTAAAATTGGATGTTACTGTTGTGGGCCTTACATCTAATTTCAGGCCTAAAACGTTTCATCTTATAAATAATACAATAAATTCATTCGAGCATTTCTAAGACAATTGTTTAATTTTGAAAAAAAAGAAGATTTAGCCAAAACGCAACTATGAAGTGTCTACAGGGTGAAGCTTCATTTCCTGAAAGTTGAGCAGCACTGATATCTTCAACAGAAGACGGTGTAATGTGTAACAATTAAAGTAAAAAATTCTTAGTGACGAATCAAAGAAGACAGAGCCGAGGAAGTTAACAGCAGTAATTTGGGTAGATAATAATAGAAGTGCAGAATAATGTTTGCACCTGTCACAGACACACTTGTCTGTCACCTGAACAATTTTGATGCAATCGTTAAAAAGAGGAAATTTAAACATTTAGCCCTTGTGACGTAAACAAACAAAAAAGTAGCTCGATTCCCGAATGCAAATAGCAGTTGTAAGAATCTACCACAATGATAAAACGTTTCAAGACTTCCAAACTATCGGAAGAACCATGCTCTTAACCCAACTTTAAACCAACTCACCTTCACCAATCAAACGCTCTAGCTTGATCCAGCCGCGGTCCAATTCGTTAGCAAACTGTTGCACAACGTCCTCCAAATCTTGATAGGTCAGATTAACGAAATTCTGAACGCCTTTTCCACTTGGTAGAATCACTGAACAAGGTAAGAGAAACTTAGGACAAGGTCAACCAAGCTTTTAGCTCTTAAGGTGGTTAAAACTTTGAACACAAACATTTCTGAAAGATATTTTTCTCTCGAAAAGCACATGCAAAAACCTATTAAGTCGCTCAGTTACTAGGTCCAAAGATCTCGAATTCACTTTAAAATTAAACCAAATCGTCCATAAATATAAATGAATTTGAAATTATTAACGGAAGTTGGTTTTCTGGCAAAAAATGCTGCTTCACAGCATGTACTAACATGAGTCAGTTCTGTCCATGATGCAATCTCTTAGATGCTTCATCTTAGCGTAAATTATTTGCATAACTACTGTCTAGCAAACATCGAAAAAAGGTTGCTAATGATAATGATCATGATGATGATGATGACTCAACCTATCGGTGCTAGTTCTAGAGAAAATTGATGGCCGGTAAAAAAATTGATGATAGGTTCGGTAATACTTAAAAGTTCCAGGTCGAATTTGCCTGCCTGAATCTACAATAATTGAAATCGTCATTGGTTGACATCAAAAGTCAAAATTAAACGATTAATAGAAACAAAAGCCTGAAATATTATGGGAAACACTAACTGTTAGGGAAAGAAAATGATATACAAACATTTATCAAAACTTCTACTTACGATCAACGAATTCACTATTTAGGGAAAGAATAGCTGGTTACATTGAAAATTTTTAAGAAATATTTAACAGCGAATGTGTACGAACCTTCCCCGTTTTCAAGTCGAACAGTTTGGAGATGCTTTGGATGTCCCCTTGATAAACAGGAAATTAACACATTTTATTGACAAAGATACAAAATATTATTGGACATAAAAGTGACAGCTATAACCAGGGATCTGAATTGACGGATATTTTAGTTGAAGGAGGGGGGGGAGGAAGTGAAAGGTGCTAGATTTCCGACTGAAAAACAGGCCAATTGTAACTTTGTTAAAATTATACTTAGCTTTACTGGCAGAACCTAAAGGTCAGACAGTTCTGCTACTTCCTATCTTGGAATAAGCGTTATGTAATATTACTCCCTGACGGAAAGATATTTAATTATGTAATATTATTATGAGTTATTTAATTATGGATTAATGGAATGATGACTTAGTCTTTATGACTTCTCTGATTTCCCTGGTGTGACAACCGAGCACCCCTTGCCATTGACGTGGCTGAGAGTAATTCAAATAAAGAGCAAATCTATACGTATAGTCAAGAGAAGTAGGTTGAAATTAAAAGGAGTCACTCGGTGGAAAAATGGCAAAAGGACACAAATAACGCAAATGTGATAACTTCTGTATAAAAAAGGTTTGAAAAAATGGAAGGAAAATTGCTAAAAAGGGGGGCATTATGAAAATTGTATGAAGCTATTCGTAGCATGAACTTAGTCAGTTAAATCAAACCTGCAGAGAAAAATATCTTGAAAGCATGAAAAAAGATGTAGCAGAAGAGACGTACCTTCGGTAGAAGTATACGATCAAAGAGATAGCAATCAACAGTAAGACAAACAATGTGACTACGAGAGCAATGACCAAAGTCAGTGAAATACCTGTAAAAAGAATTCAATATATAATTTATACATCACTCAAGGCGACTATAGGAGGCATTTTATTCAACGTTCTGCTTGGCGACCACTTAGCTTGGCCTATCATCACCACTTTAATATGATATGAAAAACTAAAGAACCTGCGAAGAAACATGAAATATAACTCGTTAATGATGACAATTTTGATTTCCACTGGCTAATACTTTCCTTTTCCTTTAATTTCAAATCTGATAACTTCTTCTTTGGAAAATCCAGCGCTCGTGTGTGACTTTACCTAATTTGAAAATAAAAATATCATTTAAAAGTTCAATACGTGGGCATCTGCAAAAAGAATATATTCTAAGCAGACCTCGTAACCCTGCGAGAGGGTGCGAGTGACGCTTGCAGGCACAGAAGCCTATGCTCTTAATTCCTGCAGACACTTCACAATCGATTTTTAGCTCTAGTATTTAAAAACCATGCCCAAATGACAGAAAATCATTGCTTAAACGCCACCAATTTCGTTTCAAAAGCCGGTGTCAAGTTGAATGCTTCTTCTCTCTGTCTTGTCTCTTTATTTCTATTTCCTCTTTATTTATCTATTATTCTCTAATTTTCTCCATTTATATCTCGAATTATATTCTCTGATCACTCACAATTACTCGACCATTTTTGTTCAGAGCATTATGAAATGACTTCAATGTTGCTACGCTTGGTCGTTTCTCACTACTGCGCAGGCGATTCCTACCTACTTCCACCTATGCACGTCAGCGTCGATTCTCCCGACAAATCCCTACATTTTTCAAAATATTTCTACGCTACTACCCACGGTCATGCATGCTTCTAAGAACAATATTGAGCAAAATTCCATTTTAAAAACGCCGTATAGATCGAGGACTGAAAAAGTTATTCAAAAAGCAATGCGCTTGTAAGATAGTACACTGATTAAAACCTGTTACAATTTCGCGGTCGCGAAAAATCTTTAAAAATTCTATTGCTCGCAAATCTCGATCCTTTACGATGATTGTCGAGCATGGTGTTTAATGCAAGTAGGAAGAAAATAGTAACATGCAGAGTATGCATGTCTGCCGTATTGGAGCAAAATTACACGGTACATCATAGACGTGGCGGATGTTAACGGTTTAGGGGGACTTAGTATAGACATTGCCCGAATATAATTGCTTTATTGAGATTGAATTGCCCTATGGGAGCCAGAAATACTATCAAAATACGAGAACTTTTCCCTGATTGCCTGAAAATTTGCCACCCCCCATGTCTTCTTTGCCTGAGATGTTCACCTCGAAAGAATTTGGACAGATGAAAACTCTAATGATTTGTTAGAATCGCCTGTGTTTCTCCAGTAATTGGAGTGAAAGCATTTTCACATTGAAATGATCAAATGTTACAAGAATGGTAAATTAAAAGCTGATGAATGTCGAAAATTGAACCAATAGCATGCTTAGATAATGTAGAGAGAAGAGAAGAGTTCAAGAAAATGTAAAGCCTTCTTTAGTGAAGATGTTTTTTTTGATGAAATCGAAAATTGCAATTGGACTGCCTGATACCCCAAACCACTCACAGATAAAAACCGGATCACTTCATTACCTTCCTTGTTTACTAATTATTTCATATCGCTTTCAGCAATTGTCATCTGTTCAGTTTTTCATGCATTCGTGGTTCATGATAATATTGATACGGTATCTGATTTTGATAAATGTAAGTTTGTATAACAGTACGGAGCGGAACGAAGAACACAGTAGATAGGCAAAATATCAGAATCTGACCTAAGGTGGCAATCTGCTTTATTTATAGGCACATTTTTAATAGGCTAAGAATGTAAGACTAATTTTTGACTTGAAGATTCTTTTCAATTTCAAGACTTTTACTAATTTTCAGGCTTTTTTATCAAATTGCTGTAAAGGAGCATAAGTAAAGAAACAACAAATCTCTCAAAGTGACAATTATTTGGGATTTCCTATTGAAAGTAAAGTGCTAGACTGAGCCTGTGTTCACAATTGTCTACGAGTAAAATCTATCAAATCTTTATATAAAAAATAATATATATGGATGTGTTGTTTTGAGATTCTATCGACTCGTTCACTGCGAAACATGCAACTGACTAAACTCTACGTGACGCGTGCTAAAAAGTTCTACCTCAGCGATCATTAGAACTTTCTAGAAGCTTCTAATTAGCTGACAATAGAGCAGCAAGCAATCTACTCTAACAACGCGTCCTACTAATTACGAAGGTCATTAGTTTACTTACAAACGCAGCAATTACGTAACTGTTGAGTGCACGTTCCCAACACTCCCACTCAATCAACAGTTTCTGTTCAGGTTTTATTGCATTCCGAGCTTGCAGCGTAGGTACTCAAATTGACCTCTGTTCAGTGATTTAGTAAGTAAGTCAGCCAGCATTTCTTTCGTGTTGCAATATTTTAGTAGCAGAGTCCCTTTTTCTACTTGTTCTCGAACAAAATGATACCTTATGTCGATGTGTTTCGTCCGTTTATGTCCGACTGGATTTTTTGTCATCGAAATTGCTCCTTGGTTGTCTTCCATGATGGTTATAGGTTGCACATTGTCTCCTATTTCTCTAAACAGTTGCTTCAGCCATACGACCTCTTGGGCAGCTTTACTCAAGGCAATGTACTCTGCCTCAGCAGTTGAAAGAGCCACTG